TGCCATGTTCTGCCTGTGGATTATAATTGCATTAATAATTGTGATGCCTGTCAGCAGATGAGCTCTGGCGTCTGAGAAAACTACCACTGCATGTTCTGTTCCCCATGCTTGCCAAAAACTACCACCCCAACAACAACACAAGGCAGCATATGCCCGCACTTAAGCTGTTTTCCTGCACAGTGCAAAAACTAAGCTGATGGATGAGGCTCTATGCTCAGTCTGGACTTCTCACCGCAGCAGCTCTGTCACAGGTATGTATGCTTTCTTACAACTTTTGACGAGGAAGGAAACTCTGACAGAGAGTTGAGGTAGACAACCAGAGACAGTAATTTTTTTCCATCAATGACACAAGAACAATCAAAACTAATCTGCCTGTAAAGACTCCATAAAAACAAACAAACAGCTTGAAATTCCCTAACAAGCCAACAATAGGCTTTACACTAGGCTTTTACTGAACTAATGCAAGCATACTGTAATTGAAGAAACTGATCATGATTGTACAATACATCTGTCATTTCAAAGACTTTCTAACAGTAAATCAGAAGTCAGGTAACGCTGTACAACGACAGCACTGTAGATGACCATGTTATTTTCTAGTAATATTGTATTTTAAAGCAAGATGACTTAACTCATTAATTTCAGATGAGTATCGTGCACAACTGTTCTGCTTCGTCTTGCGAAGTTTCTATGATTCATAATCAAGAGTACAAGTCCATAAAACATTTTATGATTAACTCATCTAAGTAAGAATTGTACAAATCTAACAAATGGAACAACTATCATATTCGTGTCATGCACAACAACGAACGAACTTCACAATTCCTTTTACAAGCAACTTCACCACTAGTCCAGAGACACCAAGAGCTGATTTTATTAGCCCACCTACATAAGCATTTTAGGTTCGATGGGGAATGTGCCTTTGAAGCCAATTTCCTGATCACACTTGCTCCTCTGTGCAGCCACTCAAGAATGGGCAACTGCATTTCTTTTGTATGAAGCTAACCAAAAAGATATACTCAAGGAGGGCACATAATGAATCCCAGCTAACATTCAGTGTACAGGACCAGGAACCTTATCAAAGTTTTATCAGTGTACAGGAACTTTACCAAAGGAAAGCTTCTGAAATATGTAAACAGGGCGGATGACAGCTCCTCAGCATAACTGTGTGCCATACTACATGCTAATACAAACACCAATGCACATGCAATTGAGCCATGAGTCGAGGTAAGTGAAAAATAACTCTGACAAAACCTTCTAACTTTTGGTTGAATATACTCTCTGAACCAGCTCACTGTCTGTTGAAAGAAGTCAGAGCCAGCATGACGCTGCTCCAGCTTTCAGTGGTTTAAGCTACCACGAAACCCATGCTAGGTCACAACTGAAATACCCGACTCCTCTAGAAAAAGTAAAGTTCTCCACTTCCCCCTCTGTCAGCAGTTTTCCTGCCTCCTTTCTTGTGCCAGCACTGTGATTCATTCAACTCCACTGTTACCTGACACAGAGTTATTATCAAGAAAAAGTTGTGATTAATTTTCTGCCTGCATAGCCCCTGATGCCAGCATACAACAGCACTGGACAGGCACTAATGTCTTTGCAAGGAGAAGCAGGAACACATGGCCGGGGGAAGACTGAACCACCTCCTTCAGTGGCAACTCACCATTAGACTGGGTCAGCTGCAGTGTGAAACCACACCCTGAGAGCGATCTGAAGACTCATATAACTATGGCAGAAGTAGCTGGACTTGTTATCCCAACACACGTACTTTTATTCACTGTTTTATGCAAGTCTTCTACCTTAGTGCTCATTTCAGGGATGTGCATAAACAGGAAGAAATATGGGTTAAGAGAGGCTGGTGTTCTCACACTGGTGTGGTATTTTTGTTCTGGGAATAAGGCTGTCCTTTTGTATATGTGTATTAAGTGGACATATAGCTTTTGTTTTCCAGGATGCCACAGCTTTGTATACAACAATCATAACTGTTTTAGTCTTCTACATGGTCATTTATTCCTATTTAATAGGCAGCTGACAGTGTCCCTTAGAGGCAGAAATGAAAATTATTAGGAACAATGAGCCACACATAGTAACTCCTTCTGCTGCAAGACAGATCTCTCACATAGACATAACTCTTTGCAACAAAGGCTGCATGTATATCCAGCCCTTAGACAACAGATTTTCAAGCAAAACAAGTTACGAGCCTAAAAATGCAACCGTCACACGTTTTCATTTCCAACAGAATCAGTTCTGAACTATTCAAAGGTATCTATAAACCTGGACTACCAAAGAGGAAAATCTTTGAGGTAGTTCTTCGTGACTACTTGGTCCCCTTGAGTTTGAAGAGCAACAATTTTATACTTTGTTTTGCACACCTACAAAGGTACTTAGCATTCATGTGACTAGTACTGCACTTGCATTCCAGGATTATGTAAGTATTGGGTAACTGAATCAAGTTCCTTTCCCCACAAGCATCAAGTGCTTCAAATGAACAGGTAAGAACACAGCCACCATGTGGTCAAAAGAAAATTCCATCTCCTTCACAGAGTTTCTTTATTTCTTAAGCTATATTAGCTTGAGGTTTAAGTTACAAAGTCTCAGTTTCCAAAGTATTAAATTCGACTTCCCTTCGAACAACCCCAATCCAACAGAGTCATGCCTGTGTTAACCTGAAGTAGAGTTGTACTTTAAAAAGAACATAAAATAACTAGACAACTAAATTATTTTCAAAATACAAGGTACTTTACAGGTGACCAACAGTCACTGCACAAGATATTTATAATGGGTCAAACTGCTAAGGACATTTTGACTTTCTTTTTATTATCTACAGTCTCATTCCTCAGGCAATCTAATATCTTGTTTGCCATTTTAACTGCAAGGTTTTCCTTGAGATTACTACAGTGATAAGCCAGGTCTGCTTCTTGAGTTAATTTATTTAGGACCCATGGAATGACGGCTGAGTAGTCTCTCTTCCCCAGATGCAATCTACTTTGCAGGAAAATATCTGACCTTCTCTGCAAAAGATAAGGATATAATCTGTATCCACTTATATTCAAAATTCCTAGTCTTTCCAAGTTCTTGCACTAAATTCCTGCATAAAACAATCTCTAGCACTAGCTGACTTTATTTATACACTGATCCAGACAAGTTTTATGTAAAAGAGATTTTAAATACAGTAAACATTTAAACATTCACTTTCCTAGGATGATTTTTCTGAATTTGGTTGGCCACACTCAAAAGCAGCAGTGGGTGGCCCTTGAGAAATCTCACTCATAATACTGAGCAGGCAGACTCTCTTAAGTCCAGTCTAGCAAGTCATCAAATAAGAGATTACTAGTTTTACCAGTAAGAACCACTTCTTATTCAGCCCTCTTCCACTTCATTGTGTCTCAGACTCGTTTCAGCAAAACAAGTTGCCCTTGGGAGGCCCAAAATACAACAGTAACCCTAATCAGTAAGCGTTCTCCTGGTACTAAATTACAGAATGTTGAAGTTTCTGCACTCTGCTTCTGGCAACAGTAAGTTTAATACTTCTGTTAAAAGGGCTGCTTATCTCACCAGGCTGAGGATGAAACCACATGAAAGGCAGTACAGCTTTCTAAATACAGCATTACCCACAGCAGCTCAAAAGACTATACGTGAACTTTAAAGTACTGAACAGCGACAGAGGGAGCTGCAGAAGCAGCAAATTATTACCAGTAGCTGTTCATAACAATGGTTCACTGGGAATGCGTTCCTCAAATAATTACACATGGACATCAAAGCAAGACTTTCCCTTTCCTGTGCTGGTAGATCTGCAACACTGCTACACCTTCTGGATGTTACCTGGTCAAGGAAGTAAGTGCTAAAACCACGCACACACAGATTACAAGTATGGGCCCGTGTCAGTCTTAACACTGAATTTTTCGTTGTTAGAAATGCTTTGATGGTAAGTTAATTCCTGCCGGCAAGTGATGTCCACAAAACACTGCACGGCTTAGGTGAAGTGGATCAGCATCAGTAGCTCCCACTGATACAAACCCAGATTTCCTTCTGTGTTGCTCTTCACCAGCAGATTGTGGGCTGAATCTCACCCATCTCCCCAAAATGCTTCGGGATTCCCATTCTTTGAATGGCCTCTGCCGGCACGGAACAAACAAGACAGAGATTCCTGCCAGCTGTTGGACGCTGCCAGCAGCCACCAGCCCCTTCCGAGCCCCCGCAGGTACAAGGAGGGAGAGAGCAGCAACACGCTGCTCAGTGTAGCACTTGCTGCGCCCACGCCCCCCCGCCGGAGGGACTCAGGTGGCCGGCTCCAGGCCAGACAATAGCTCCCTACTCTGTGCAGGGAGCTCTCCTGCTGTCTAGGTTTCGGCTCTTCAGTACAAGAAAGACAAGGAGCTGCTGGAGAGGGTCCAGTGGAGTGCCACAAAAATGATTAGGTGTCTGGAGCATCTCTCGTATGAGGAGAGACTGAGAGAGCTGGGCCCGTTCGGTCCAGAGAAGAGAAGACCGACAGGGGATCTAATCAATGCACATAAATATCTCAGACGCAGGTGCCACGAGGATGGTGCCAGACTCTTCAAAAGTGCCCAGTGACAGGACAGGGAGCAGGGAGCAGTGGCCAGAAACTAAAACACAAGAAGTTCCACCCCAATATGAGGAAGAACTTCTTCACGTAGAGGGTGGCAGAGCACTGGAAGAGGCTGCCCAGGGAGGTCACGGAATCTCCTCTCTGGAGACATTCAAAACCCACCTGGACGCGTTCCTGTGCCACCTGCTCTTAGGTGACCCTGCCCTGCCAGCGGGGTTGGACTGGATGATCCCCAGAGGTCCCTTCCAACTCCAAGGATTCTGTGATTCCCGAGTTGCCCGCCGGGTCCCGCCCCGGCCCGAAGGCTGCGGGGCGAGCAGGGGGCGCGGGCCGGGCCGGGGCCGCCTCGGCACGGCACAGCACGGCACGGCACGGCGGGGCGGGGCGGTGCCCGGGCCCGCCGCCCCCGCCGGGGGCCCCGAGGCGGCGGCCGTACCTGCATGACCACGTCGCTGGGCAGCTGCGCGGCGCGGAAGAGCTCCAGGACGCGCCCGTTGGACGCCACCTTCTTGGTGCTCTCGGTGTCGCAGTAGGAGAAGAGCTCGCAGTAGTAACGCTGCTCCGCCTCGCTCAGCGTCAGCCCCTCCATCTTCCAGCGCCGCGGACCATCCGCGCCCCGGGCGGGGAGCGGGGGTGGGGGGGGACACACACGGGACACACGCGCCGCCGGCGGCCGCGCGCGGGCGGCTGCTCGCACCTTCCCCCGCCACCCGCCCACGCGGCCGCGCGCCTGCGCGCCCTCCGCCGCGCCTGCGCACAGCGAGGGGCGGGGAGCGCCCAGCCCAGCCGCGGGCAGCCCGCCCCCTCCGCGCCGGCGGCGGCGGCGGCGGAAGCGCCGCGCGCGGGGGCGGGGCGAGCGCGCGGAGGGCCGGCGGCGCTGACCCGCCCTCCGCGCCGCCGGCGGCATCGGCGCTGCCCGCGGTGACGGCGGGGGGATCGCCCCGCCCCGCGGCCCGGCCCGTGCGCGGCAGCGCCCCCTGCGGTGCGGCGGGGGGCGGCGGGTCCGCCCGTCCGCTCTCGGCCCTCGCTGCGCGGCAACCCCGCGTTCCCCGGGGCGGCGGCGGCGGCGGCGTCTCGCTCCTGGCTCGGCCGGCGCTGCACGGGCCCGCAGCCGCTCAGCGCATCCGGGGATGCTCGGCTGCCCCGCCGCAGTGGCCTTCCGGGTCCCGCGCGGCTCAGGGGGCCGTGGGAGAGGCTGAGGCGGTGCCAGGCGGCTTCACAGAATCACAGAATTAATAAGGTTGGAAAAATCATCGAGTCCAACCCATGACCGAACACCACTGTGTCAAGTAGAGCACAGCACTAAGTGCCGTGTATAGGCTTTACTTAAATAGCTCCAGGGACAGTGACTCCATCACCTCCCTGGGCAGCCCATTCCAATATTTAATCACGCTTTCAGTGAAAAAACTCCTCCTGATGTGCGACCTAAACAGCTGTTCCTCCTGATGTGCAACCTCTGTCACAGCTTGAGACTATGTCCTCTCATCCTGTCACTAGTTGCCTGGGAGAAGAGCCCGAGCCCCACCTGGCTACAACCTCCTTTCAGGTAGTTGTAGGGAGTGATGAGGTCACCCCTGAGCCTTCTCTTCTCCAGGTTAAACAACCCCAAATCCCTCAGCCAAGTCCCTCAGACCTGTGCTCCAGACCCTTCACCAGCCCTTTGCCCTTCTCTGGACTCACTCCAGCACCTCAGTGGCCTTCCTGAATTGAGGGGCCCAGAACTGGACACAGGGCTCAAGGTTTCAAGTACATCACCAGTGCCGAGTATAGAGGAAAAATCACTTCCATGGGCTCAGGGCACATGGGATCATCACCAGTGCAGGTTCTGCTGATAGCTGGTGAAGAATTGCCGATTCTGACACGTAGGCCCAGCTATAAGTGGTTGCCTTCCTCTGCATGCTTCCTCCGTCCACCATTGCGTGCAGCAACAAGCAAGAAGCGGCCTGGATAATAACTCTGTACATCAGCCTTGCAGGGAAGAATAGACAAGAGCTCGCTTATCTCCACAGCCAGAGCTCTTGCTCTATGTGTCTCTCTTGGATATGTTTTCACAGTTTCTCTTTGTTTCTCCATTTAGTATCCTAGAATGGTTTGGTGTGGAAGGGACCTTAAAGATCAACTAGTTCCACTAGTTCCCATGTCCTCCTGCCATGGGCAGGGGCACCTTCCACTAGACCAGATTGCTCAAAGTCCCATCCAGCCTGGCCTTGAACACTTCCAGGGATGGGGCATCCACAATTTTTCTGGGCAATCTGTTCCGGTGCCTTACCACTCTCACAGTAAAAAATTTCTTCTTTAATATAAACTTGCCCTCTTTCAGTTTGAAGCCATTTCCCCTTGTACTGTCACTACATGCCCTTGTAAATAGACTCTCTCCATCTTTCTTGTAGGCACCTTTCAGGTACAGGAAGGTCACAGTCAGGTCACCCCGGTAGATTTATGCTTTTGCGGTGGTACAGTAACAAAGTTCCCTCCAAACTGTGGCTTCTAGAGAGAATCGAACAAAAGCTGTGGTCTCCTGCTTGACCCTTTTGAGTACCTGATCTGATTTAAATCCTGATGAGTTGGCAGTTCACTACTTCATACTTAGATACATCCTCTCATTTTGAATTTATGGTTCTTCCCTTTTTCCACTTCACTTTCCTTCACATCTCTTCCAATTTTTCCCTTTCCAGATTGGTGTTGCTGACTGCTCTACTTCCCTTAAGCACCTTATCCTTTATGCCTCATAAAGGAGTTATATTTGGAACTTAAAACAGGTATTCATCTTCCTTGCTTTTGAAATACACAATATATATGCTTTTGCTGCTAACCAAAGTTTCTGAAAATCACCTGTATGTTAGCATGTAGTTAAAATAACAAAAGGATCTTCCCAGAAATGTACCATTATCAAGCCTTGCAACCCAAAGTTATACTAATGATGAAACCACACATACCAAAGAAACAACTTTTTTATATTATATCTAATTATTATGATTTTATAGACTTATATAGGACAATTCAGCATTGTAGGTCACTTACTTGGAGTTATTGTCACATCAGGATTTCTGCAAGTAAACTGATTGTAACCTTTTCTCCACAGCTAAATTGCATATTGCAACTCTATTAGTTATTCAGAGCCATTTATAGAAGAGGTTTTTTAATCACTTATCAGTAGGTGATTGGGTTCCAAGTGCCTCTGCTTCTTACAGTGATTAGGGGAATATGCCAGGCTTTTCTCTGTGCTGTAGCATCACTCTGAAGTTGTTCAGGTAGATATTTTGGAAATCAGATTGTTGGGTCATATTTCCAACTCCTGTGCCATAAACTTACCTACTTGCTTTGTGCTAGTTCAAAGACTGAGCAGAAATAATAAAAATGACATGACGTGTAGCAAATTAATTTCTAACTCCCAAGATCTGCATGTGATCTTTGCCTCAGAGAGTCTTTGCCTCAGAGAGTCCCAGTACAATGTGTCTGTGTTTGGCTGTGGGACCTCCCTTCTCCGCTTCAATCAGCCCCTTGGAAACCTCCAGGCCAGGGAGGAATCTGCTCATCAGAACTTTACTGGTGCCCATCAGGCCAGACTTAGCATCTACTGAGATGAAAATTTTAAATCTTTTCAGTGGCTTCTCAGTGACAATTCATTTTGTTTGGCTGGAGAATGTGCTGTTTGCTATAAAATGAACTAAGGAAAATAGTATTCCTGCATGTTTGTAAGTAACTTCTCTGTATTTGCACTTTCCAGTGCAACTACCCTAAACAGTGAAACCACATTTTGATTTTTAGTTGTTTTTGTTTGGAAAGATCTGCATCACAGCATTTCCCAACGCTCATATTAGATACACAAAGAAGAAGGTTTATGGCAAAACACCCACCAAAGTATAACATCAGTGATACACTTTTGATATAGTAGTTTCAGCATTCAGTACATGAAACACTTGATTCAACTGCTTTGATTTATGTTTTAAACAGAACGAGAAGAGGAACTTTATTTTTTAATTTTTAGGCATTGTACCTTTTATTCTCTCTTTTTAATATAGCTTCTTAGAATTCAGAGGTCTGAATACCCAAGAGTTAAGCTACTCTCCATATGGTGCCTAATTTTACTGTGTTTTATTTTCAGTGAAAAAACTGTTAGATGACATGTATTGATATCAAAGCAATCATCCTTTTAAGAGATTACAGTCAGAAAAAATCACCATCATCATAGGAAGGCCAAGTCTAATGACCCAGGGGGAAGGGAGTACAAGGTTATTTTGCTGCCCACAATGCAGAATCAGAGCTAAATTACAGAACAATGAAACATTATTTTTAGAAAAGGAATACTTTCACAATTTGATATGTGACCAAAAATATGTATGTTCATTGCTAATTAAAAAAAAATTTTATTCATTTAAGGGAAGTACCAGTTACAACTCGTTTCAGTATCTTTTATCAGCTATGAACTTACAATTGGTTTCTGAAAACTAGTTGTTACATATGTTGAGACATTTCTAAAAATAAACATAGTCCATAAAGAGGTGCAGGGTCTAGTTTTCATCAGGTGATATGGGTGTGCCATGTCTAGGGTCTACCTGTTTTCAATGTTCTAATTACAGTTAGTAGATCTCATATACTATATTATTTGCACTAAAGTAAGTTATATGCTCAGATTATTACATTTTTTTAATTAAAACACCTCCAAATAATTTTCAACCTTCTAAAGTATGTATTCAGGTCCACTTCCCATCTTGCATCTGGTTCTCCAAGTTTAGAAAAATGGCCCTGAGGTTATTTGTCATTGCCTTTCTAAATTCTTCCACATACATAATGTTGTGGAGCAGGTTTTACAATCTCTGTCAACATACTCCTTTACTTACAGCTCATCAGGAGTTCTGGGAACTTGTTCTATCCTGATTCTTCGGTGTAAAGACAAGTAGATTAAGGCTAGAAATGAATGGGAGATATTTTAAAAAATCTGCTGTCTCAGACTTTAAAACTGGCTTATTGTTATTGCCTGATTTTTTTTTCAAAAAAGAAGATACCTTTGGAGGTAAGGCACTTTATTCCAGATAGAAGATTTTGAGAATGACGCTAACACTTAAAAATGAAAGAAGTCCCTGTTCTGCTTTTTTAAAAGCATCTATATTTTCTTTGTACAGAAGCAACATTTTAGTGCAAGTGTAGCCACTTTAGAGATGTTTGTACCCCGACTTTTGTAAATTTCTGCATGTATGTTCTGTGTTACAGTTTACAAGCTTTTTCCAACCTTGCATTTTTTTCAATTTTGAAAAACATCAGTTTCATGATATGGTCAGGTTTCACCTGCAGCTGTTTTTACCTTCTTCAAAGTGGCATCCATATTTCAAAGAACTTACCAGTTCTACCAGTCCTGCTGGGATTGTTTCTCCATCAAAAGTGCATCGTACATTTAAGGCTATGAAATTTTCCATGGTGGACGAAAAAATCCTGTCCACACAGAGCCATGGAGCAGACAGTAACAACGATGGCGGTGTTGTTCTTCTCCTTCTGTACCAGGAGAGCGCCTTTGCAAGGAACGTTCATCAAGTAAAAGGTGGATCTAAAGTAATGTGATTACTCATCAAAATAAAGTCATTCTGGTCCCTCCTGCACCTCTGTGCAGGCACATCCTGAAATGGAAAATAATAATTTCTTCGTCAGCAGCCTCTCTGGTGTGTTGTGTCACCACTGAAATGTGTATGGGATCCTGGCTGAAGACA